AATGTGGTATTATTAAGCTCTTTTTTTAGGCTTACAGAAATTTTAGTTAATTTTAAAATATTACGAAGAATCATTGTGTAATAAAATATATTTTTTACTACTTTTTTGAGAATCAGTCATTTTTCTTACAGCGTGCCTGCTACATTTTTTATAGCCCAGGGACAAATCTAATACAAAAAATAGTGTCATAAAAGTGTTTTATTGTTCCCTTTAGCTGTTTTTCTCCTTGCCAAAGACAGTGTATAATTTTGAAAGAGTGGATTTTTCCTCTTTTGAATGAGTGGTTCAAATAAAGTTTCATGAGAGCATTTTTATGTTGTTATGCTCACAATGTTAGTATGTAAGAATAGCCTTAACAGCTCTAGCAGCTTCACTCATGCTCTTCTTAAAAGAGAGTGTGTGAGGAAATAATGAAGTAGTGAGAGCTGTTTGGTTTCTGGAGAAGGTAATTTTTATTGCTGTCCTGTAATGTGGTTTGGCTGTTGGCTTTAGATTGACTGCTGGTGCTGGTTAGCAGGAAGTGGAGAATCCTACTGGTGAGCTGAAGGGCGCGTTTTGCGGTGGGGAACAGCATTTAAATCTAAAAATGGTGCTTTTGCCACCCTTACTTGTATTGCTTTGGTTTGCTTTCAGGAGGTTTTGATTCTTTCAATTAGAGGATGAAAAGGCTTTTCAGTTAGCATGTTTCTCATCTCTCCCTGTCTAGCTGTGAAACTGAGTTTTGCTTTTTCAGAAATCGAACATTTCTCCTTCGTTGCTGTGAGGTATGAGTTATTTCAAGGTTTTAGTTTTATTAAGATTTAATGGAGGTTGATAAATATGAATTAGTTTATTTCTAAACATAGTTATAATGTCACTTAGGATTTAGAAGAGCTTTATATCTGAAAAAAAAATATCTTTATAAGCTATATATTTTATTAGGCTGTACAGTACCATTATTCTAATGCACACAAATAAGCAGCATGTAATAAGGTCTGCGTTGATACAGCAGCTTGAAAGAATTTATAAAGTTACTGTTTCATGTCAGACCACTGAGTTCTGGGACCACAGTCTCTGAAGGTGTAAGAAGTGCTGTTCAAAGTGCTTCATTGCTCATGACTCATTAAAAACAGATTCAGATCATGAAAGGGCATAATTGCTAGTGCAAATTTTGTGACTTTTCCTATGAGTTGTCCCCCAGATTTACTTTACACATTTATGTAGTAACTGTGGGGTTAAATCATAACAATAGTAAAGATTTTGAGGTTGAAATTACCTTGTACCTTTTGAACATTGCTAATGCTATTAATGGAAGCATCGTCAGTGTTCTTTTTAGAAGCCTCTGAAATGCAAAGCAGTGAAATGTGGATTGCTGAAGGGTAGCTCCTTGAACAACAAGAGAACAGGGGTTTTACAGTTTTTTGAAGTGAACAGCTAGGGATATTGTAAGAAGTACAGAGAACATTACAGATGTTATAAGGAAACCCTCAGAAAAATGAGGCACATTACTGTTGCCCATAAAAAAAGTAAGAAGAGATATGGATATAAGACACGATTCCAGCTGTAGTCTTGAAGGAGTTCTGGCATTCTTCAATCAATAATTAAGCCACATTACCAAATATGTTAGGTCCTTAACACACTGGATGACAGCACAAAACAGCTGAACGTGCTGCTCTGGAAAAGCAGATGCTGGGATTCTGGGGACTGGAACCTGAAGATGTTGAGAAGCTTGGAAAAATAAGAGCAATGTTCAGATGACCCAAAATGAGATAAATGTTTAATTTTAGATAATCTGACTTGGGACCACTAAGTCCTAGCCAGTTGTGCACTTCCCGATGCTGCAGAAGTAATAGTGTCATTTCTGCTAGCATGAAATCTGAGCTTTTTCATAATTGTCTTAGTGCATTGGTCATTCTACAGTCAGAAGAAAGAAGTAGAAAGATACAAGTATGTTCTTAAGAAAAATTGGAGCAAACATTTCAGCAGCTTTGATAAAGGAAGAGAGTAATGTTATCAGAAACGTTTGGAGAAGGAACAGAGGTCATCAGGCCTATCAAAAATCTAAACACACTCTTCAATGTTTAATTCCCCTGTTGGTAGTATCTAATTGTATCTTGAATGTCTTGAATGACTTTGAAGGGCTGTTGTGCACATTTATGACTCTGTGTGTATGTGTGGGGAAAATGGTTTCTGACATCTGTTCTGAATGTGTTTATCTGTAATTTTAATTCATGCTTACTTGCCTTGTCACCTGTGTTGGCCTGAAATTAGTTTAGATTCAGAACTATTTAAGATTTTGTGTGCTTCTGTCAAATCCTCTCCAATTGCCCGCTTGCTCAGATGTGATATTTCTATTTTAAGCCATTTCTTATATTTAGAGAGGAGCTGACTGTCTCAGATAAGACTTTGCTGAATATTCTGGTCTCAGTAATGCAGTTATTTTCACCTGGGCGATCGGAATGCATGCCCTTTGCTAGCTGCCACCCCTGGCTGAGATTCAGAGATCCTACTGCACTATCAATGGGTGGTTTTGCCATCCCTGTAGGTATTTTAAAGGAACCCTATAAGCCATTTCACGCCAAAGAATTAGTAAAAATCAGACTTTTGCATTCTTTTCCATTCTGCTTGCTTGGGGATACGTAATTGCTCCCGTGAATAGATTGGCCATGGATAGACTGATGTTTAAGTAAGTGCTTAGGTCCTTCCCTGTTTAGTCAGGAATATAAGCATGGTCATCGCAGTCAGTGGCCCCGTGTACATCCCTGACTGTTTTGCTGAATAAGAAAGAATTAAAATATCTAGCTAAATTAGACATTGAATTGGGATTGTTAAAGGTGAGAAGAACACAGCTAGCTTATTTATGCACGTTACAGTCCAAATACGAGGTGGCCTTTATCTGCCAGAAGAGCAGGAAAAGCACTGAGGCCCAATATGAACTAAGATAAAGGAGATAGCATTTTATTCCTTTCTTGCCTCCAAAACCCCAGCTGGGGAGAATACAGACCAGGGTCTGAGAAATGCGAGAAATGCACTTCCTTGGTGTGAACCTCTTAGCTCTTTCGGAGTGCTAAATGTGCATCTTCACTGCAAAAGAAAACTACTTGGAAAAGCCTCTGATCCAATCAATGGTACGCCTACTCTGACAGAGGTACAGTGAACCCTTACTTTTCTATACCATCCAGTACATTTTTTTTTTCTGTTGGTTAACCTTAAATTACATTTGTTTTGTAAAAGCTTGGTAACATAGTGTCGTAGCACCACGCATGCTCTTAACAAGAATAGTTTCCACTTTCTACTTAAAGAGGTATTGAACAAGTTTTCTGAAATGCTATGGGAAATAGAAGTTGAGTCACTTTTAGTCAGCATTTTTAAAAGGTAGGAAACAGTGTTTCACAGGTCTTTTATAATAATAAATGCCAAGGCAACCTAGAGATGTAGTAGGTGTTCTATCATTGTGTATTCCTAATGAGAGGAGAACAATTAAAAGTTCTTCAGAGCCTCTAATTACACAAGTTACAGAAATGGAACGTTACTTTTTTTTTTCTATGCTCTTTTAACTGCCTTCAAGCTTGAAAACGTAAGAAAGAGGCTGATTCTGAATGGAGACAGTTCATGTTTCAGTTGATGATAAGGGAACAAAAGCAATACAGGTTTTTCCAGAGAATTTTTAACAAAAGGTGACAGCTCTAGTGGTACAAAATGGATAGTTAGGGTAGTCGTCGTATCTACTGATGAATTTCAGAGGTGGCAAATAAACAGTGAAGAAATCTTAGGGCTATGATGTGATATTGAAAACTAATCAGCAGCTTGTGCTTGGGAGAAAGTGCTGATAGAGCAGAGCGGTTGATCTGCGACGCGGGACTTGTGATGAAAGTTGACCCTGAGAAGCCGTCCCTTTGGCTAATTCTAAGTGTTACATTTGCCATGAGTTTATCACAGGGTAAAATGTTGACTCCCTGGGATAAAGAGAGCCCTGAATCAATTTTTTTTTTTGGTGCAGAAAGTTGTATAAGGACTATTGTAACTAAAACATGCTGAGAAAGGTGAAATAATTTTTACAGGTTTGGGTGAGAGGGAAATGCAAATAAATGAATAAATAAATAATTAAAATATCCTAAGACAGTACACTAGACACACTAAATGAAAATGTGGTATTTTTATAGTGCCTAGCTTAACATGCTGATATGTTACATCAGTTCTGAGTAGTAGTAGCTACCAATAATAATCAAATATAAAACTAATACTGTGTATGAGTTCAAAGGAGAATTATTGTTCCAAAGGAGCAGGAAATAGACTAGGATGTCATAGTCTTAGGGGAAACAGTGATAAAGAAAACATTATAAAACTTGTCATCTCTTGAATATTATCTAGAATGCCAACAGAATAGTAATCCTGCTTGGGGAGTATAAATTTGATGCTGAATGGATAAGTTTGGGGAGATGGGTTCCAGTGTTTGGTTTAGATTATAATTATAAAGGCAAAAATGAGAAGTCAAATACTGTGATTGCATAAATGGCTAAAGGCAGTGTAACTGCGCCCTTTTTTACCAGTATAAAATTTACCCAGGCTTGACAAGGCTGTATCTGGAATACTTGAGTGGTTTTTACCAGACTGTGAAATGACTGAAGACTAGAAGGGATATCTGCAGTTTTCATTAATGGAGTTGGTTCTTTTTTGCAAGCTGGATTACAATGAAAGAGCTAACTGAGCACAAGGAAGATACCTTGGTTGTTAATAAAATTAATCTGAAGTTTAAGTGTAGAGTAGGATGTTGACACTGAGAAAGTGTCCTCCTTGCTAACAAGTGCTACATTTTTTTAAAAAAGACCTCACAACCCAGCGTTAGATGATCAGACTCAAAGTTGGAGAGCACTAAAATGACAAAACCTGAGTTTTAAATTAGTAGATGACTGAAGTGCATGTTTAAAAACAAATTTAAAAAAAACCCTCAATGAATAACAGCTCCAGGATAGTCCCATGAAAATTTGATTACTGTAGATGAAAACTATATTTAATATAAGCTGGTGTCTTCTGAAGTTCCTTAAAGAATATCAAAGCAAGGGTTATGAACAAAGATCTGAATCTGGCGTTTAGATCTTAGAAGTCTAGGTCATCTTTTTCTTAGCTGTCTTTAGGTGATGTTGAGAAAGTTTAGTATCAGTGAACTAGAACTTTTAGTTTGCTCCTTTATCACCAGGCAGAATTACCAGAAACTGTCCTTTTATTCATATAGGCGCAAGTTGGAATACAAGCTGATGGTATGTCTGGGTTTCTGGTTTCCCTCCTTCTAGGAGAGAAGATCCAGAAAAAAATAAGAATTACCAAAATGACTGTTTATATATCTCAGGCAAATAGAAATTGACTCTTGGATATTAATTGAGAAAAATCCATCAAAAATACACCAATGGGGGAAAAAATTCCTGTTTTCAAATTCTGAAATTTAATTATTTAATTATGAAATTTAATTATTTAATTATCTTTTACAGTACTTCCAGTGGAGTTCCTTCAAAGAGATAAAGTTGCAATTACTTTCACTTTAGACTTCAGCAGACAGAGATTTTGGCACATCTTTGAGAAATATTAAAAATCAGGAAGAAAGAACTTCAGCCAGTTGTGCCTTTATAGAAGAAAGTGGGAAAGTTCCTCACGTTTGTAGAAATGACTTTGTATAGAATAAAAGAAACTGTTGACAAAGAAACGACTCAGAAGTTGTGTCAAGGAAAAAGGAGAGATTAATAAAAATTCTCCCCTACAAAACAGGAAGCATGGATTAATTATAAACTGTAGAAACAATCCAGGTAGTTTTTGATGACAGAATTACAAGGCAGTGTGTGAGGTTGTTTTGACTACTAGTATAGTTTTGTGTTCTAATGCAATGTCTCATGTTTGCTCCTCTAAAAGCACCCTTGATTTTGCATAATAAGAGAAATGCGAAGGATATTTTTTGATATTACACTTTATTATCCTTTCGGCATAAGTTAGTGTTACACTTCTTGGCAATCAGAGATAAGGTGGCGTTTTATCCTACATGGGTTCAATAGAAGACTAATGTATTGTCATGGCTTCCTGCCTTGAAGTTGTTTTTTCTCCTAACTAAAACTAGTCATACAAATACATTTTTGAACAAAATGGTTTTACTGAGAAAGAATTGATGGAGGAATCCAAAAAGCCTGTGTGCACCAGATAGGTTTATAGAGAGAATTTCTGGAATGTAGCGTGCCAAATTTTTCAGAGTTACATAGTCAATGTAAGTATTAAACCTGAATATCTCAAATAAACACGTTTTAATACCAGGTTGCATGTTCCTTGTATTTCAGGCCATAACTTCTGTGCAGAGGGGCACAGGTGTGGTGAAAATTCAGAGTGCAAAAACTGGAACACAAAAGCTACTTGTGAATGCAAGAATGGTTATCTCTCTGTCCAAGGCGACTCTGCATATTGTGAAGGTAAACAAAATATTCAAAGACCTGTCCTCTTAACAACCTACTCAGAAACATAGTATTAAATAAATGGTTGACGAATGAATTTCATTGCTAAGTTCAGTTTCATGATGGTGAATATCACAAGGGCCCTTTTTGCGTTCATAAATATGGATTGAACATTACAGGTGGTGCTGCTGGACCATTCAGATTACCTATCTATGGGCATCCTTTGTTGTTGCAGTTCTGCCTTGGCACACCGTGGTCATGCTGTCATTAAAATTTTTAAAATACCGTTTTTCAGACAATAACACCTACCTTCTAAAATGTTTTTTAGAGAACAACAGCTTTATAAGATGCATTAATTTAGGAAGTGGGAATTCTGCTAACATTTGTGAGAAAGGTAAGTGTGAAGGTGTACTGAGGCTTGAATATAGAAATGATGATCTGCAGTCCTTCCTGAAGTACTTCTGTGGGCCAGGTACTTTACTGAAATGGTTTTCCTATGATACAGAAGAGACCTGTTTCTTAGACGAGTGTAGCTGAGGTACTTCTGTTGATGTATTATTCCATCACAGGAACGAATGTAATGGGGCATTATTCTCCTTTGTGTTTCTCAGTGTTTTCTAGAGCTTGCTGTTATTTGTAGCTATGATGTACTTATTAAAAACTAAATTGACGAATCAATGTATACCACGTTCCTTCCTGCCTTTGCATTGTGGTGTGGTTTTTTTTTTTTGTCTTTTTTTAATGCCCTTTTATGTCAGGCTGCAATATTTAATCTTTTGGCCATCATAGGAAGCTTTTGAAATACTTCTAAAAAATGTTTCCCTAGATTCTTCTTCCAATAGTACTAGTGATGGAAGGGAGATGGCATTTTTGACAAGCTGTTAAAATATTCTGTAAGAATTGGAAGACAGGATGAAAGAATAAAAACGACATGCATGGACTGGGCTTAAATGATCCCGCTTTCTTAAAAAGACTTTGTAGTGTATGTAAGTGAACAGGACTGCTTTAAATAGCAGTTTATAAAGCTGTTCAGTAAATTGCAACTATAAACCTTATGGTATTTAGTCAGTTCTCTACAAACAACAATTTGAATGGTCCTATATTGGCACTTTCAGTGACTGGGAAAAGAGTTTACACCTTTTTTTTTAAAGGTAGGCAGCAGATATACTGTATACAGAGAAACTGTACAGAAAAACTGCGAGAAGAGCTGCGTTATAGGTACTCTAAGGACTACTCAGAAATCAGAAGACAGTAACAAGGGTTTTTATCAGCTATGATACAGAATGCAGTATTTGTTGTTTTTTCTCTGTTTTAAATAAAATCAGTGCTTAGTGTTTTTATTTACCTAGTAGCAGACTCTCCCTTTTTTCCTCTATAGAAAAAAAAATTTAAACATCTTGACTCAAATAATTTTGGAGATGTTGGCAGTGCATTAGTGGTAGTGGTGGGGACCGAAAGAGCTTTTTGAAGAAATTAGCAGGAATTACAACATATCTGGTCTATGTTGCGTTAAATTTCGGAAGGGCAAATCAAATCCCTGACTTCTGTGCGTGTGTGTGAAACATAGGGCAGCAAAACAAACACAGATGCTTTTGCTGCCTAAGACCGTGGGATAGATGAGAGAGGCTTTCTGCATGTTATAAAATTATAAATTTGCTAGAAGGAGAGTAGTACTTAGGAGGTAACGTAGAGAAGAGAAGTTTCTTCAGCAAGGGAAACTACAGACTGCCGCATCGATTAGCCAAGAGGTGACTCCTTTCAGCCCTGTGAAGAGCTTCCTTTCACTCCTCAGAACAGCTTTCTGCAAAACCTCTTTATATGCCTCTCTAACCTCATTTCTCTCACTTATGTGTTTAATCTGCTAAATAGAGTCATTTCATAGTTGCCTCTATAACGTTCTCAAGTGCATGGTGAAGCTGTGATTTAAATAAATGTGGTCAAAGGCATGTATCCGAAGGTAGAATTTGGCAGGATGTTGGTATTGTATAGGGGTGGATTTTTTTTTTTGTAGTTTTGGATTCCTGTGTGTACTGTGTAAGAATTAAATACGCAAAACACCTGAATAACACGTCGTAAACATACAAAACACCTGTGGAAGCAAGGAGCTATCATTCTCAGCTGTAGGTCTGAATTTGTCTTCAGCATTCCTAAGCCTTTAAACTTAAAAAGGCCTGTGAGATTATGGTTTCCTTTGAGATGGCGAGGTTAAACTATTTCATACTCCTGACATGTGCTGGTAAGTGGCACCTTAGTTCAGAGTGCTCCAGATCATTAACTTGGAGCTTTCCAGATTTCTCATCTCTCCCAGTGTCTTTGAAATACTTGTGCATGTGAATTCTAATGTATGGTATTATTGTACCTTACCTGTGTTTTTACTGTTATTTCTGCTCGCTCTTATTTGACACAGTTTTATCTTGCTGGACCTTATGGCATCATTTTGATCTTGTAAGATCTCTGAAGAATTGTGTTTGAGTCTGCTTTGCTTTTTCACATGCATTTGTATCTTTTTTTAGCAGTCCATATTCACATTCGCAGTATCGTGGAAAAAAATTAAAAAGATTCTAACTTTTGTCAGAGAATTGACATCGGCAAATTTGTAAAATAAATAACAAAAACCCAAGAGGCTTTTACTGTTCATTCTCAGTAACTACTTTTCAAGTAGCTCCTCATGTCAAAATATATATGTAGGATAACCACTCACTGTATTCCACTTTTGAAATAACGTAGATGTGTTTAGGGAAGACAGTTTCTGAAAACAAGCAAATAAATGAAGCTTGTAATGAATGAAGGAGATAAGTGGAGATTCTCTGTGCTTTGTAAAAACAGTATATTTCACTTAAAAACAGAAAAGTTGGGGTTTTTTTGGCATTTGCTTACTTGTCTTGCATGTATGAGACATAATTAGAGCATTCATCATTTGCAGAGAGATGTATAGAGGTATTTCTATTAATCATGTTGACTGAAATTTAACTGCTAATGGGGATGCTTAGGCACAAGTGTTGAACCAGTGTCCCTTTGTCTCTGTCACATATGCATGGATAAATTCTGGGAATCGCACAAGTAGCTAGAGTCCAATGTCGGCAGGATGCAAGCATTCAAGTTGTAGCAGCATGTACTCGCTTCCAGCTATGACTTTTTAGCACGTGACATGTGAGCAGCTGTGTTGAGGGCTGAAAGTTGCATGCGTGAGAGGTAGTTACAGATGGCGCAGCAGTTCGGTGGCAAAACCAGGACCAGAATGGGGAATTCTTTTGAGTCCGTCTCATGACGGTTCTTCCAGATGTGGTGTGTACAACAGACCTGCCAATACTCTGTACTACTTCAAAGCCAGAAAACTCCACAGTTGGTGACTACTTCACAAATACTAATAGGACAGTCCACATAATGCAAACAAAGAGACAGGAAAGTGTCAGCAAATGGTGAGTCTGAAGCTCAGAGATGAAGAAAGAAAAATCAAGCCGAATCAGCTGAAAGTCAGGCTTGTTGCTAGCATGGTTATCCTCACTTTCTAGGTGCTAATAAGCAAAGAGCTATCTCTTCTGAAAAGAATTTGGTGATTTTTCTGCTATGTATTTCACAGCAAAGAGCAAAAGCAGAATCAGTTTTTCCTGCCACATTTCAGTTCTGCGTTCTTTATTACCTTCTTAGCTTGAAACATTAACAGCCCTTTGCTACCTGCAAAGTTGTTATGTTGGTGCAAAAGTGGTTATTACCTAATTGCTGTTGAGCTCTGATTCATTGTGAGAGCTGTTTAAATCTGAAGTGGGATGAATCTCCCAGTTAGGATAAATACATGCCTCTTCTCACTGACAAGAGTGCATGGAACGAGAAAATCAGTATTAGCCTTCTGTCCTTCAGGCACTACTTACACCCCCAAGAAACATCTAGTAGAAGTGATACAGTAGCATACTACAACATGTCTTGCCATGTTACGCAGCGTGTGCTTAACCAGTGTCGCCAGAGAGTGTTCCTGTGATAGGGGGTATAATACAAGAAAGGATCCATTGACTAAAATGGACCTACAAGATGATTATTCTCATTGTATGACTGTATTGTAGGGTGTGCTTTCCCTATATATCTAAGTAGGATGACACATGCTCTCTAGGATGTCTTCCAGCTGTTGATGTGGAGTGTAAACAAGCTGTGTGAATCTGAGTTGGTCTTTTAGGAACAGGTAACAAAATAAAACTATTTTACAAGAACATAAAAAACAAAAACACCTTCTCTGGCAGAAGCAGCCTGTTAGGCTGTGGTTAGGACAGGATATCTCGGGTGAGTCTGCTTTGCCCTTAAAGAAGAGGCCAAAAGTAGTGTTGAGAATACCTTGTGTTGGCTTTTTTTTTTTCTTTTTTCTCCTTTACTGCTAAAGTTGCATGGGTTAATAGTGACAGGAGAAGATCTGTGAAGAATATATTTCTGTGAGATTAATTCATGCAGTATAGTTAGTTTCCTTATATGACCTGACCCTCAAGGTCACCTTAGTGCTGTTACCTCAGCTTGAAGAGTTAATCACTTAAATGCCTTAATATTCTTGAAAACTCTTCCCATTTTTTGTCCTGATAGAATGCTCTAGTACCACTTTTGACTTTCATTCAGAAGGAACCAGACTAAGTCACTCTCACTTCTGTGCTGCAAACATATTACCTTAATTTGTTGTTAACAAATTACTGCTCATTTCAAAAAATGTCACATAAGCTATGAAATACTAGCCAAATTGAGAAAACCTGCTCATTTTGTAGCATAAGGAAGAGTTAACGATGATTTTACTGGGCTGGCAGGTTTTGGGGAGATGTCATGAAGACGAATGAAAGTCTGGGGAGAAAGCTGAGTGCTTGTTTGCCCCTGAGCATGGACCCGAGCACGCAGCATGGACAGATCAGGCCAGCAGTCCGCCTGATGTGCCATACCACCGTGCGGTGGTCTCCGGCAGCTTCTGCTCCCTTACTGGGCATCCAGTCTCCCTTCTACAACAGCCTGATACTGCACATGGCACCAGGGGAGCTGTGGGCAGGCAGTGT